CTGGATGTGGCAGCACATGCCTGTAGTCCTAGCTACTAGGGAGGCTGAGGTGGGAGGATCACTGGAGCCCAGGAGGTCAAGGCTACAGTGAGCTGTGATGGCACCACTGCACTCCATCTAGAGTCACAGAGCAAGACCCTGCTTCCCAACAACAACAAAAAAAATTGTTACAACTCAACCAAATCACACAATTTTTAAATGGGAAGGCCTTGAAGAGACATTTCATCGTAGATACACAAATGGCCAATAGCATGTACAAAGATGCTAAACATTAGTGTTAGGAATATGCAAATTAAAACCGTACCACTTCAAATCCAATAGGATGACAGGATGGTTATAATAAAAATGACAGGCAGGTGTAATGGCTCAGGCCTGTAATCCCAGCACTTTGGGAGGCTGAGGTGGGAAGATCACTTGAAGCCAGGAGTTCGAGACCAGACTGAGCAACACAGCATAACCCTGTCTCTACAAAAAAAAAATCTTTAAAAATTAAACTGGGCATGGTAGTCTCAGCTACTCAGAAGGCTGAGTTGGGAGGATCACTTGAGGCTAAAGTTTGAGGCTACAGTGAGCTATGATTGTGGCACGGCACTCCAGTGTGGGTGACAGAGTGAGACCCTGTCTCAAAAAAACAAAAAGAAAAGAAAACAGAAAAAAAGATGGAGAATGCCGAGTGTCAGAGAAAATGTGAAGGAATTAGAACCCTCAAGTAAATGCTGGAACCATCTGGAAAACAATTTGGCAGTTTCTCAACAAGTTAAACCTAACCATACGACCCAGCAATTCCATTCCTAAAATTTTACCTAAGAGTAATAAAAACATAAGCCTACACAAATAACTGTATGCAAATGTGCATAGCAGCATTATTCGTAACAGCCGGAGAGTGGGAACAACCCAAATGCCCATTGACTTAAGATAATCACACATTAGAATACAAGTCAGCAGGAAAAAGGAACGAAGTACCCTCACATAATATATGTGGATGAACCTCAAACATATTATGCTAAAGAAAATAATCCAAGGCCCAGCATGGTGGCTCACACCTGTAGTCCCAGCACTCTGGGAGGCTGAGGCAGGTGGATCACCTGAGGTCAGGAGTTCGAGGCCAGCCCAACTAACATGGTGAAACCCCATCTCCACTAAAAATATGAAAATTAGCCGGGCGTGGTGGCACCCAGCTGTGATCCCAGATACTCAGGAGGCTGAGGCAGGAGAACGGCTTCAACCCAGGAGGCAGAAGGTGCAGTCAGCCAAGATTGCACCACTGCACTCTAGCCTAGGCGACAGAACAAGACTCTATCTCAGAAAGAATAAAAAAAAAAGATTCCAATTAAAAACTGGACAAATGAGCTGGAGAGACATTTCTCAAAAGATGTTATACAAATTAGCCAACAAATATGTGAAAAAAACGTTCAACATCACTCATCATCAGGGAAATCATCACATGAAAACCACATGAAAATGGCTACTGTCTAAAAGACAAAAAGAGGCTGGGCATGGTGGTTTGTGCCTGTAGTCCCAGCTACTTGGGAGGCTGAGGTGAGAGGATCACTTGAGTATGGGATTTCTAGGCTGGCTGTAATGCAGTATGATCACGTCTGGGATTAACTACTGCACTCCAGCCTGGGCAACCTCACCTCTGAAAAGAAAAAAAAAATCCTGGTGAGAATGCAGAGGAAAAGAAACTTTTTTTTTTTTTTTTTTTTTTTCCCCCCCCAGACAGAGCTTCGCTCCTGTCACCCATGCTGGAGTGCAATGGTGCGATCTCGGCTCACTGCAGCCTCCACCTCCTGGGTTTGAGAGATTCCCCTGCCTCAACCTCCCAAGTAGTTGAGATTACAGGCACCTGCCACCACACCCAGCTAATTTTTGTATTCTTAGTAGAGACAGGGTTTCACCATATTGGCCAGGCTGGTCTCGAACTCCTGACCTCAGGTGATCCACCCTCCTTGGCCTCCTAAAATGCTGGGACTACAGGAGTGGGCCACCGCACCAGGCCAAAAAGGGAACTCCTATTCACTGTGGGTGGGAATGTAAATTAGTGTAACAATTCTAGAAAACAGTATGGAAATTTCTCAAAAAACTAAAAGTAGAACTACCATATGATGTAGCAATCTCACAACTAGGTTATCATCTAAAGAAAAGGAAATCGGTATATGAAAGAAATACCTGCAGTACCATGTTTATTGTAGCACTATTCACGACAGCTAAGATATGGAATCGATCTAAATGTACTTAAACAGATTAAGAAAGAAAACATGACACCTACACACACACATATACACATACAGAGGAACATTATTTAGCCATAAAAAATGAAACTACATCATTCACAGCAACACGAATGAGCCTGGAAGACATCATGTTAAGTGAAACAGGCACAGAAAGATAAACACTGCATGTTCTCACTCATATGTGGGAGCTATGAAAGTTGAGCTCATAGAAGCAGAGAGTAGAACTGCAATTACTAGAGGCTGGGAAGGGTAGGGGCAAGGGGAGCATGGAGAGGTTGGTTAATGGGCGCAAAATGACAGCTACATAGTAGGAGTAAGTTCTAGTGTTCTTCTCACTAGAGTGACCATAGTTCATAATTTATTATTATTTTTGAGACACAGTCTTGCTCTGTTGCTCAGGCTGGAGTGCAGTGGTGCAGTCTCAGCTCCCTGCAACCTCCCCCTCCCAGGTTCAAGCAGTTCTCATGCCTCAGCCTCCCACTAACTAGGATTACAGGCGTGTGCCACCAGGCCTATCTTATTGTGTATTCTCAAATAGCTAGAGGAGAAGATTTTGAATGGTCCCAACACATAGAAATCAGGGACGTCTGAGGTGATGAATATGCTAATTATTTGGATTTGATCATTACACATTGGATACATCTATCAAAATATCACTCTGTACCCCATAAATACGTAGAATTATTATGTATCAATTAAAAAGGCACATTATACTATGTGAGAAGAGCCAGATGCAAAAGATTATCTACTGAATAATCCCATGTATATGAAATGTCAAAGGCAGTAGAGTCAGAAAACAGACTTGTGGTTTTCTGGGGTTGGGTATGGCAGTGGGGTTTGATTACAAACAGGCTTGGGGAATCTGGGGAGGCATAAAAATGTTCTAAAGCTAGATTGTGTGATAGTTGCACAACTCTACAAATTTAGTAAAAAAAAAAAAAAAAAAAAAAAAAAATCACTGAATTGGCCTGGCATGATGGCTCATACCTGTAATCCCAGCACTTTGGGAGGCCAAGGAGGGTGGATCACCTGAGGTCAGGAGTTCGAGACCAGCCTGGCCAACGTGGTGAAACCCCATCTCCAAAAAAAATAATAAATAAAAATTTTAAAAATTTAAAAAATAAATCACTCAATGATACACTTACAATGGGTGGACTTTATGATATGCAAAGTATGTCTTAGTAAAGCAGCTATCACCCCACCCCGACACATAAAAACCTCTACTGTACAGCAAATAAGGTGAACTGTGCTCTTTTCTCTAAACTCTGCACCTTGACTATGTCTCCTGCACCCTGTTACCAAGGCTGTAGTGCAGTGGTGCGACCTCAGCTCACTGCAACATCGGCGTTCCAGGTTTAAGTCTCCCAAGTAGGTGGGACTACAATCACCTGCCACCACACCCGGCTAATTTTTGTATTTTTAGTAGAGATGGGGTTTCACCATGTTGGTCAGGCTGGTCTCAAACTCCTGGGCTCAAGCGATCCAGCTGCCTCAGCCTTCCAACATGCTGGGATTACAGATGTGAGCCACTGTGCCCGGCCTTGACTATATCTTTTGGATAAAGAAGGCAGTCCTTAATGCATTGCAGAATTGTTACTATCAGCCAGATGTGGAGTTGATGAAACACACTTAACGATTATTTTATTTGCAAAGACATAAATCAAATCTCCCCCAGATGTAAACCACTTAGAAGACACAGTTCTAAACTACAGTAATCTATGGAGAGATACTGCCAATGCAAATATTGTGAAGAAGCACTTTTTAGTTCAGATAGTTTCTCACTCAAGGCACTCAGCAAGTAACCCTCACCACGGGCTTCCAGGATGACAGGCCTGGCCTTCGGGACTGTTTACTCTGTAAACTAACAACAGAGATTGAAGAGAAACGGGCTAGGGTTTGCCTCCCATCCTGAAACACCAAAGAAATCACCCCTACTATATAAGGAGTCATCTTGAAAGACTTTAAGTGTCCAATGTGAAGATTACCCCACTCTCCAGCCTTTCAAAAGAACAGGTGAGAAAACAAATGTCACATTATCATAACATGGAATGAGAACGGATCTGTCCTTTTGAACTAAAATGGCAGTACAGAAATCCTTTGTTAACTCTGCTCTGAAAATGATAATTTAATACATGATTCCTTTCCTAATGTGCTTCTGAGTACATTTTGCTGAGATGCTAGGATCTTCAGGGCCAAGAAATAGAAGCTGTTTTCCACATAGTACTTGTTCTTGTGGTTCAAGAATTGTCACTGGCTTAACAAATTCATCAACAGAGAAGATTCAATGTATGCACCTCTCCCAAGGCTGTAAATATCGTCTCCTTGTCACCCAGCATGCAGAATATGTCTGAAAAATGAATTTATCAGGGACACACATCATTACTCCCGAAGACACCAAACCAATGCAGTCAAGGCAACCCGAAAGAAAGCTGCTCAATCTTCAGTGTCATAAATGTGTCAGGAGTGACACCATGATTAATGTACTGTACAACACATGCGGTATTATCTATTCTGTAATCTAGGGTGAAGAATGCTTCCTGGAGTTGTGCAGTGCACAACCTGTGCAGCTGTACATGGTGACCCTGGGATTAGCCATCTCATAAACACACAGATTCATAATCATGGCTTTTCACAAGAAGTTTAAGAAAATGAAAGCATGAAAGAACAAGGATAAGACCCTGCAGGCAGACCCCTGAAAACTCTGTCTCCACAGTGGAATTTTACATAGGAGATTCTGGTGGGGCAGAGAGGGTCACTAGATCTAACCTGGATGACAATTTTTAGAGCTTTCACTTTCTGGTCGGAGGCCCAGGCGTCCTTCAGCGACTGATTGAGCTCCTCTATGCGGTTCACATAATCCTGCTGAGTCAAGTTCAACAGCTCCTTCTGGGAACCCTGTGGGGAGAAGGCAGAAGGTGAAGGCACAGCAGGAAAAACATCTCGACTGTCACCCCTCTGAAGAATACTAGGTATTGGCTGAGCTTTGGTCTCTACGTTTTCCTCATATCCCCACCAGGATTGACAGCTTTCCCTTGCAACTTGCAATCAAAGAGGTTCTTTGAGTTTTCTGACTCAGATGGGCAGAGTGCCGTGGGTTGACAGGCTGGCTTTAGAAGCAAGTCAAACCTAAGCTACCTCCCAGTTCGGTCACTGAGTAGCTGTGTGACCCCGGGTGAGCAACTTTCCACTCAGAGTCTCATCTGTGAATAGAGGTAACAGGACATACCTCATTCAACCAACTGTGGGCCTCCTGTGTGCTGGGCATGGGACTAGATGCTCAAAATGCAAAGACATTTTTGCTCAAGATGCCCAAGCAATAAGACATGACAGGGTATTTCAGCACAAATGGAGCTTAAGATACTAAAGATAGATGGATATTAACTCAAACTGAGATAAATGCTCAGGAGAAAACACAATTCTGTGGTGACACATAGCATAGTTCACTGGATCTGAGGTGCTCATTGGAAAAAGCACAACTGTTTAATGGGCTACCAAGGAAGAAAAATGTGCTGATCACCGACAGGAACCAACTGAGGAACATATACTCCAATTTCAGAGATACTCAAATGTGAAAGAAATCATACATCTCAGAATGGAAGAAATATGGTAACAAAGAAATGGGCTGTAAACTGGTGGGGCGATTCAGGAATGGCTTCCTGGAGGAGTGATACTCGAGACAAACTCTCAGTGGAGTACACGTGTTAACTAGGCATTGTGGAATGTGAGGGGTGTTAACTAGACCAGGGAGAGAGTAATCAGGACAGAAAGACAACCATAGCAACCGAGCACAAGATCATCATGGGGATGAAAAGACCATGTAGGTAAAGACTTGGCACACTCCCTAGTGCAGAGTAGGTGCTCTCTAACCCTGGGTTATTGTAAAGAGGCTCTTCACAAAACTCACAGGAGTGAAGGTCATGCAAACACCCATGACGAGACCAGGAACCAAATGTTTATATGTATATTTCCTACAATCCAAAGTGAAAAACTCTTTACTAAAGAAATGAGTTGGCCAGGCACAGTGGCTCAGGTCTGTAATCCCAGCACATTGGGAAGCTGAGGCAGGTGGATCACCTGAGGTCAGGAGTTTGAGACCAGCCTGGACAACATGGTGAAACCCTGTCTCTCCTAAAAATATAAAAATTTGCTGAGCGTGGTAGTGTGTGCCTGTAATCCCAGCTACTCGAGAGGCAGAGGCAGGAGAACTGCTTGAACCTGGGAGGCAGAGGTTGCAGTGAGCTGAGATCACACCACTGCACTCCAGCCTGGGCAACAGAGTGACCTGCAACCTTCATCTGCTGGGTTTAAGCAATTCTCCTATGTCAGCCTCCCAAGTAGCTGGGATTATAGGCACCCGCCACCACACCTAGCTAATTTTTGCATTTTTAGTAGAGACAGGGTTTCACCACGTTGGCCAGGCCTCGAACTCCTGACCTCAGGCAATCTGCTCACCTTGGCCTCCCAAAGTGCTGGGATTACAGGTGTGAGCCACTGCCCCAGCCAAGATTTTGTTCAAGACATCTGTATCTGTTGGTTACATTTACTGTTTAAGTGTTGGCAAAACACTCTTTTTTCAAAGTACATACAGGCCAATTAAAAGATTCCTATGGGCCATATCCAGCCAGCCCAAGAAGCATCTGTTACAAAGAAAGGTCTTTGTACTACACAAGGCTGCTTCTCAGGGAGGTGACTGCAGTTTGGGTTTTTTGTTGTTGTTTTTTCTTTTTTTAGACAAAGTCTGGCTCTTTTGCCCAGGCTGGAGTGCAGTGGCACTATCTCAGCTCACTATAACCTCTGTCTCCCAGGTTCAAGCAATTCTCCTATCTCGGCCTCCTGAATAGCTGGGATTATAGGCATTCACCCCCATGCCTGGCTAATTTTTATATTTTTAGTAGAACTGGGGTTTCACCACGTTGGCCAGGCTGGTCTTGAACTCCTGACCTCAGGTGATCCGCCCACCTCGGCCTCCCAAAGTGCTGGGATTATAGGCATGGGCCACCGCGCCCAGCCTTGCAGTTGGTTTTTACCAGTAGACACTGTCCCCAGGCAACCCAGCCTTGCTCAAGCATCACAATGAGAAAAGAGGCCTTTGGAAAAGCAGCCGTCAGGCTTCTGTGAGCTCGGCCAACTGCAGAGCTGGCATCCTTCCCTGGATGGAGTCATTGCCTCAGGAAGACTGAGCACAATCTGCAGACCGGGAATTAATCAAAGGGCAGTCACCAAAGTTGATCTCACTTGGCAGGAGGAATGAAAAGCTCTCCCACTCCCTGCACACAAATGACTTGCTCACCTCCTCAAAGTCATCCAGCTCCTCCAGCCGGGTCCGAACCTTCTCTGACATTGCAAATGCGGCAGTCCCAGCTCTGCCTAAACAGAATGAATTTATGTCACACAGGTGGCTTTTCTCGAGCACCAATACCCCCAATGGAGGCATCTTTCACTCTACACTTCATCGTGAATAAAGACACTAGGGAATGATTCCATTATAGAAAACTATCCCAGAATTTGAAAGCAACTTCCTTATGTAACCAGAGTTTCATCACAACATTTCCTACTCAGCTGCTGCCCCTGGGAGCGCAGTGGGCCAGCCTCAGAGAGGTTAACCGCTGCATTCGAAATTTACAAACTTTGCTGTGTATCATCTGTTTATTCCTAAAGAAAGGCAGTCCAGATAAGGATGCCAAAAATCCGTCATTTAATTGTTTTCTATGAACAAAAGGCCCTCTTAGGCTCATACTCACAGCACAGAATTGTGCTCTTCTGCTAACAAAACAACCATCTCACTGTCTACCCAAGGGTGGAAACACTAGGGCTTCAAAGCTCTCTCTTTGAGCAAACAGAACTAGCTGTGCCTCCTTCCAGCATCTGTCAGCACAGTTTCCTCATCAGCAGGGACTGGTGGAGGGATAAAGGAAAGGCCCTCAGGCCACAGGCCAGCCACACGGCTGGGTGATGCATCTGGCTGACTGCTGCCCTCTGTGGCCGTCTATTTTGGAATCCTTCCCCCATTTCAAGGGGGCCTCTGCTCTAGTACCATTTTTTTTTTTTTTTTTTGGACACAGGACCTCACTCTGTCCCGTAGGCTGGAGTGCAGTGGCACAATCTTGGATTATAGCAACCTCCACCTCCTGGGTACAAGTGATCCTCCTGCAACAGCCTCCTGAGTAGCTGGGACTACAGTCGCACGTGACCATGCCTGGCTAATTTTTGTATTTTTTTGTAGAGACGGATTTCACCAGCTGACCAAGCTGGTCTTGAACTCCTGACCTCATGTAATCTGCTCACCTCAGCTTCCTAAAGTGTTCGGATTATAGGCATAAGCCAATGCACCTGGCCAGGCCTCTGTTCTATTTCTGAGGTCCCATGGCTCACATTATCTCCCTGCTCCTTCCTACCAAATCTACTCTAAGGAACTCAAGTTTATTCTTTTTCAGGCACTGACTTCTCAGATCTGGTGTTGACTCATATTTGAGTCTGGGGTCAGCTGAGAGAGAATGGTAGTATTATTTAATTAGTAACAACTATTCTAGTAATTAAGTTTCCAAATAGGCTGGGCATGGTGGCTCATACCTGTAATCTCAGCAATTTGGGAGGCTGAGGCAGGCAGATCACCTGAGGTCATGAGTTGAAGACCAGCCTGGCCAACATGCTGAAACCCCTACTCTACTAAAAATACAAACATTAGCCGGGCGTGGGGGTGGGTGCCTGTCATCCCAGCTACTTGGGAAGCTGAGGCAGGAGAATTGCTTGAACCTGGGAGGCAGAGGTTGCAGTGAGCCGAGATAGCGCCATTGTACTACAGCCTGGGCAAAAAGAGCAAAACTCAGTCTCAAAAAAAAAAAAAAAAAAGAAAAAGAAAAGAAAAATAAGAAAGAAATACGGACTGAGGATCCAGTTGCAAAACTCTTTCTGCAAGCCTGACAAATGTTTTAGGTTTTGAGTCACAAAGTGTCTGCTCCAACTATTCAACTCTACTGCTGTAGCACAAAAGCAGGCATAGATAATATATAAGCAAACTGACAGGGCTGTGTTCCAATAAAACTTTACTTAAAAAAACAGGCAGTGGACCAGACTTGGCCGTCAGGCTTCTGTGAGCTTGGCCAACTGCACAGCTGGCATCCTTCCCTGGTTGGATGTATGCAGTTTACCAACCCCTGAGCTGGGGCTACCCTAGTAGTGGAATGCTGGATCAAAGGGTTGACCCATTGTCTTAATCCCTTTGAGCTGCTATGACAAAACACTACAAAGTGGGTGGCTTATGAACAAGAGCAGTATATTTCTCGCCATCCTAAAGGCTGAGAAGTCCAAGATCAAGGTGCCGGCAGATTAGGTGTCTGGTGAGGACCCGCTTTCTGGTTCAGTTCATAGATGATGCCTTTTTGCTATATCTTCAATTGGTGGAAAAAGTGAGGCAGTGCCCAGGGGCCTCTTTCTCAGGGTGCTAATCTCATTCATGAGGATTCCACCCTCACAACCTAATCACCTCTGAAAAGGGCCCATCTCCTAATACCATTACCTTACAGTTAGGATTTCAACGTGTGAATTGGGACAGGGGAGGAAGGTTGGGCACAACCAACCAGATCATAGTACCTGTCTTCAAATTAAATAAAAAACACAAAAGTGTTCTACAAGGTGGTTGTGCCATTTTACGTTCCCATCAGCAGCATACGAAAGTTCCTACTGCTCTATGTTCATACCAAGTCTCAAGTTGAAATGTGATCCCCAATATTGAAGGTGGAGCCTGGTAGGAGATGTTTGGGTTGTAGGGGAAGGATCCCTCATGAATGGTTTGGTGGAATCCTCGAAGTAATGAGTTCTTACTCTTAGTTCCCATGAGTACTGGCTGTTGAAAAAAGCCTGGCATCTTCTCCCTCTCTCTCCTGCCTCCTCTTGCCGTGCAATCACTGCACACACCTGCTCTCATTTGCACTCCACTATGCGTGGAAGCAGCCTGAGGCCCTCATCAACAGCAGATGCTGGCACCAGGCTTCTTACATAGCCTGTGGAACTATAAGCCAAGTAAAGCTCTCTTCCTTATAAGTTACCCAGCCTCTGGTATTCCTTTATAGTACCACCAACCAGACTAAGATAATTAATATCATCACTCTATTTGATCTTTACAAACTGGTGGGTGCGTGACAGTCTGATATACTTTTTATAGTCTGGGATCAAAATGCTGCTCATAACAGGCTGGGGGTGGTAGCTCACACCTGTAATCCCAACACTTTGGGAGGCTGAGGCAGGCAGATGACTTGAGGTCAAGAGTTTGAGACCAGCCTGGCCAACATGGTGAAACCCTGCTCTACTAAAAATACAAAAATTAGCCAGGTGCGGTGGTGCACACCTACAGTCCCATCAACTCAGCAGGCTGAGATGGGAGAACTGCTTGAACCCAGGAGGTGGAGGTTTCAGTGAGACAAGATCATGCCACTGCACTCCACTTTGGGTGACAGAGTGAGACTCCACCTCAAATAATAACAACAAAAAAATTCTGTGTATAACAAAGCTGCTCCCACTCTCTTGATTTCTAACATGCTGTCGCTTCCAGCACAGGTGAGGGGAGAGTGGCAGCTGCAATGAAACATGGTTGTGCTCATCTGTACCCAGCAGCACATGATCCACCAGTTGCTCCAGAATCACCTAGGAGCATCAAAATAGGAATCTGGGGTCCCATCCTGCAAGATTAATTGAGTGAGTGGGGGCCAGTCATCTATATTCATAAAAAAGTTCCTCAGGAAATCCTGCTGCACAGCAGTTTGAGACACCCTGGTCAAGAGCTTCTGACTGTGTGTCTTAGGAGAAGCTGGGACCAATGGCCTCTAAGACTGAGCATCTGACCACTTACCAACGTATCTTATGGCACAAGGGAAAAGACTTAAGGCAAGGGAAAGGCTCTCTGAAGCAATTCCCCAGCTGGTGAAGGAGGCACAATGAGGGGGACACCTTCTCCTCGTAAACAGTAAGCTTATGTTTTACTCCTAGTAACCTCTTTGGTACCTTTTTGAGATGGAGTCTCACTCTGTCACCCAGGATGAAGTACAGTGGCACAACCTCAGCTTACTGCAACCTCTGCCTCTCAAGTTCAAGCGATTCTCCTGCCTCAGCCTCCTGAGTAGCTGAGGTTACAGGCATCTGTCATACATCTAGTGAATTTTTTTTTTTTTCTATTTTTAGTAGAGATGGGGTTTCACCATGTTGGTCAAGCTGGTCTTGAACTCCTGACCTCAAGTGATCCACCCGCCTCAGCCTCCCAAAGTGCTGGAATCATAGACGTGAGTCACCACACCCAGCCATATTTTGTTTTTTAGACGGAATTTTGCTCTTGTTGCCCAGGCTGGAGTGCAATGGAACAATCTCGGGTCACTGCAACCCCTGTCTCCCAGGTTCAACTGATTCTCCTGTCTCAGCCTCCAGAGTATCTGGATTACAATCTGGGATTACAATTTGCACCACGCCCAGCAAATTTTTATACTTTTAGTAGAGATGGGGTTTCACCATGTTGGCCAGGCTGATCCTGAACTCCTAACCTCAGGTGATCCACCCACCTTGGCGTCCCAAAGTGTTGGGATTTGATATTTTTTTAATTCATAATGTAAATATGTATTTTAGTTCTGTCTATCCATAATCTAAGAAATAGTAGTTCCAACTGAATTAAACATCAGAATCGTATCACGTAAACTTTTTTCCTTTGTAAAATTATATTAAAAGTAATGCCAGAATTTTCCCAACAAAACAACAACAAACTCATCTTACCTTTTTCAGATCCCATAAAGAGATTCTGCAGAGACACAAAATTCATTAATATTTTAAAAATCTAAGGCAATATGGTCATTGTTTTCCAACAAATCCATTTAGATACCCAAGAGAAAGAAATATATATTCAAAGAAAGAAAATATCACTAAAAACCATTCCTCCTCCCTTCATAATTCAAACCTCCTGCTAAAGACAAGATTCTGGGGTTCTAATTCTTTCTCTAATCTGTGCCACATCCCTGATCCTTAACATATTTTTTTGAGAAGCCTGTCGGTACATTTTTCTGCCAACAGCACTGACATACTACGTGAAACCTTATATTTGAGCTTTTCAGAGCAGTAGAAAAACAAATAAAGGCCAGGTGCTGTGGCTCACTCCTGTAATCCCAGCACTCTGGGAGGCAGAGGCAGGCAGATCACGAGGTCAGGAGTTGAAGACCAGCCTGACCAAAATGGTAAAACCCTGTCTCTAGTAAAAATAGAAAAATTAGGCCAGGCGCAGTGGCTCACACCTATAATCCCAGCCCTTTGGGAGGCCGAGGCAGGTGGATCACGAGATCAAGAGATCAAGAGATCAAGACCATCCTGGTCAACATGGTGAAACCCTGTCTCTACTAAAAATGCAAAAATTAGCTGGGCATGGTGGCAAATACCTGTAGTCCCAGCTACTCGGGAGGCTTTGGCAGGAGAACTGCTTGAACCCAGGAGGTGGAGGCTGGGGTGAGCTGAGAGCACACCACTGCACTGCAGCCTGGGCAACAGAGCGAGATTCTGTCTCAAAAACAAAACAAAACAAGTAAGTAAGTGAAACCTACAGAGCCCAGAAGTTGAAGCAACGTAAGCAAAAGAAATTACTACTAACTCCAAAGTAAACCCTGGGAGAGGGTCTCCTGGTACTCACAATAGACAGCTTTTCAGTAGTGGTGTACCGGGCAAGGATTTCTCCCCGTTTGTTGGCCCAAGGCTCAAAATCCGATCCTACAACGGAGTTATCATCTCTATCACGTTTCTTCCTGGAGCTGTCCTAAAGAATGGCAAGATAATCTCTTCAGCGGCAGTATCATTTTAATCTTTAAATATATACATACATAAATAGAAGGCAGGTAGTCCTTTACTGTGGAATAAAAGAGATCAGTCTCAAGGTTTACCACCATAAAAAAAAATTTCAGCACCAGGCACGGTGGCTCACACCTGTAATCCCAGCAGAAGATTACAGAAGATTTGGGAATCGAGGCAGATGCATCACTTGAGGCCAGGGGTTTGAGGCCAGCGTGGCCAACAGGGTAAAATCTCGTCTTTATTAAAAATACAAAAATTAGCCAGGTGTGATGGTGCATGCCTATAGTCCTAGTCCCAGCTACTTGGGAAGGTGAGGCAGGAGAATCGCTTGAACCTGGGAGGCAAAGGTTGCAGTGAACCGAGATTGCACCACTGCACTCCAGCCTGAACGACAGAGCAAGACTCTCGTCTCAAAAAAAAAAAAAAAAAAAAAAAAAAATTCTGTCCATTTTATCACAAATGGCCAATAATCACATCAAAAAATGTTCAAACTCATTAGGAATTCAGGAAAGGATAGTTGGAAAAAACCACTTTTTCAACTATCAGAATGTCAAAGAGTTAAAATGCTGGCAAGGATGTAGGGTAACAGGCCCTCTTCAATATCACTGCTGGAAATAGACTGGTTAACTCTGTTTGGAGGACAATTTGGTGATAGCCATCAAAACCTGAAATGTTCATTGCCTTATGCCAGCAAAGAACTTCTAGGAAGCTATCCTGCAGAAACCCTTGCAGACATACACCAAGACGTTTGTATGTTCAAGGTACATGGTGCACTGCTGTTTCTGTCAGCAAAACCCAGAAACTATCTATGTGGATACATCAGTAAAGGAATGGCAAATTAAAATAGGTAAATCCAGTCCTTAGACTACAATATGGCTGATCAAATTAATAGTCTGTTCTAAATCTACCATGGATAGTTCTCCAAGATATATGGTCAAGTTAAAAAAAAAAAAAAAAAAGTTGGCCGGGCACCGTGGCTCATGCCTGTAATCCCAGCACTTCGGGAGGCCAAGGTGGGCAGATCACCTAAGGTCTGGTGTTCGAGACCAGCCTGGCCAACATGACGAAACATTGTCTCTACTGAAAATACAAAAATTAGCCAAGTGTGATGGCGCATGCCTGTAATCCCAGCTACTAGGAAGGCTGAGGCAGGAGAACTGCTTGAACCCGGGAGACTGAGGTTGCAGTGAGCCAATATCATGCCACTGAGCTCCAACCTCGGTGACAGAATGAGACTCTGTCTCAAAACGTAAAAATAAAAATAAAATTGTGGGTTGCAGTGGCTCATGCCTATCATCCCAGCACTCTGGGAGGCCAAGGCAGGAGGATCACTTGAGCCCAGGAGTTCAAGACCAGACTGGGCAACATAGTGAGACTGACTACCAAAAATCCAAAATTAGCTGAGCCCAGTGACGCACACCTGAAATCCTAGCTGCTTGAGAGGCTGACGCAGGGAGATTGTTTGAGCCCAGGAGTTTAAGGCTACAGCGAGCTATAATCATGCCAGTGTATCACAGCCTGGGCAAGACTGTCTCCAAAAAACCAAGTCACAGAACACACTAGTTCCACTTATGTAACAATGTTAAATAACATATGAAACACAACATAGGATGATGATTGACAGAATGTATTCTGAAGTGAGACTGGATGAGTTTGAATCCCAGCCTGGATGTGACTTGATATCTCTATCCCTCCATGGGTGCCTCTTTTTTTTTTTTTTTTTGAGATGGAGTCTCACTCTGTTGCCCAGGTTGGGGTGCAAGGGTGCAGTCTCACCTCAGTGTAACCTTCACCTCCCAAGTTCAAGCAATTCTCCTGCTCAGTCTCCTGAATAGCTAGGCTTACAGGTGCCCACGACCATGACTGGCTAATTTTTGTATTTTCAGTAGAGATAGGGTTTCACCACGTTGGCCAAGCTGGTCTCGAACTCCTGACCTCGTGATCCACCCGCCTTGGCCTCCCAAAGTGCTGTGATTACAGACATGAGTCACCATGCCCAGCCAGGCTGCCTCTTTAATGAGGGTTCCAATAGCTCACACAAGGTATTAAGAGAACCAAATACGAAATGCACTCAGAAAATAATGCCTGACATGAAGTAAGATGCTGCTGCAATTATTTATATGTGAGTATGTATGGGAATGCTCAGAAACTGCTGTCATAAATATCTATGAAAATACAGAGGAAGGCCGGGCGCGGTGGCTCAAGCCTGTAATCCCAGCACTTTGGGAGGCCGAGACGGGTGGATCACGAGGTCGAGAGATCGAGACCATCCTGGTCAACATGGTGAAACCCCGTCTCTACTAAAAATACAAAAAATTAGCTGGGCATGGTGGCGTGTGCCTGTAATCCCAGCTACTCAGGAGGCTGAGGCAGGAGAATCGCCTGAACCCAGGAGGCGGAGGTTGCGGTGAGCCGAGATCGCGCCATTGCACTCCAGCCTGGGTAACAAGAGCGAAACTCCGTCTGAAAAAAAAAAAAAAAAAGCCGGGCGCGGTGGCTCACGCCTGTAATCCCAGCACTTTGGGAGGCCGAGGCGGGTGGATCACGAGGTCAACAGATCGAGACCATCCTGGTCAACATAGCGAAACCCCGTCTCTACTAAAAATACAAAAAATCAGCTGGGCATGGTGGCCCGTGCCTGTAATCCCAGCTACTCAGGAGGCTGAGGCAGGAGAATTGCCTGAACCCAGGAGGCGGAGGTTGCAGTGAGCCGAGATCGTGCCATTGCACTCCAGCCTGGGTAACAAGAGCGAAACTACGTCTCAAAAAAAAAAAAAAAAAAAAAAAAAAAAATACAGAGGAAAAGCTATGGAATAAGACACATTACACCCATCATTCCCACGACTGCCAGGATGGAGAATGTAATGACGATTGTTCTACATGACTTTATCTGTAGTGTCTTACTCTTTCACATCAAAATGAGTGATTTACTTATGTAATTATGTAAAAAGATTAAGAAGAAGAATAAAATTAAAAATAAATTTAAGAGAAAGGCACAGTGGCTCATGCTTATAATCTCAGCACTTTGGGAGGCTGAGGCAGGTGGATCACTTCAGGTTGGGAGTTCAAGACCACCCTGGCCAACATGATGAAATCCCATCTCTACCAAAACACACAAAAATTAGCTGGGCATGGTGGTGCATGCCTGTAGTCCCAGCAACATGGTAGGCTGAGGTAGGAGAACTGCTAGAACCCAGAGGCAGAGGTTGCAGTGAGATTGCACTACTGCACATCAGTCTTGGTGACACAGCAAGACTGTTTCAAAAAAAATATTAAATTAAAAAATAAAAATAAGTTTTAAAATGCTTTCCAAAAAAAAAAGAAGAAAGAAAATGACTTCCCGGATCTACACCAGCTTCGCACATCTGGATGACTTGAACTGTTGCAACCAGAATGCACCATGTACATTACTCGTACAACTTATAAAAGGGGAAGAAGCTTTAAGAGGCTTGGGACGGGAAAATCACTTGAAGTTTGGAGTAGGAGACCACGCTGGGCAACACAGTGAGATCCTGCCTCCACAACAAAATAAAAAATTAACTGGGCGCAGTAGTGTGTAACTGTGGTCCCAGCTATTCAGGAGGGTGAATAGAATTGCTTGAGGTGGGAGAACTGCTTGAGCCCAAGAGCTGGAGGCTGCGGTGAGCCGTGATTATAGCTCTGCACTGCAGCCTGGGTGACAGAGTGAGACTCTGTCTCTTACGGAAAAAAACGGGCAGAACAGGAGAAAACCACCCATTCCTGCACCCACAAAACCGAACCCCCACTAGACAAGCATGGCTGGGGCACATTACCGTAGCAGCTGCCAAGGCTGCAGGGTCAGCAGTGGCTGCAAACATGGAGAGGGGGTCAGTCCCATCCAGGACACTGCTCAGCGGGTCCACCATGGAGCTGGAGGAGGAGGATGACGTGGAAGAAGTGCTTCCCTTCCGAGTCACTTTCTTCGTCTTTGATTCTGTGACCTGTGAGGAAAATTTCTGGAGGTAAAACAGAGGTCCCACAACTCTCCCCAGTGAAACACTCGAGTGGGTACTTTCTACAAAAGATACGAAAATAGCCGGGCATGGTGGCTCACGCCTGTAATCCTAGCACTTTGGGAGGCCAAGGCAAGCAGATCACAAGGTCAGGAGTTCAAGACCAGCCTAGCCAATATGATGAAACCCCGTCTCTACCAAAAATAATAGTAATAATAATAATAATAATAATAATAATAATAATAATTAGTCAGGCGTGGTGGCGTGCACCTGTAGCCCCAGCTACTCAGGAGGCTGAGGTAGGAGAATCACTGGAACCCAGGAGGCAGAGGTTGCAGTGAGGTGAGATCGTGCAACTGCACTCCACCAGCCTGGGTGACAGAGTGGGACTCGAATCTCAAAAAAAAAAAAACACAAAAAACAAAAAAAGATATGAAAATAATCCAGGTGTGGTGGTACATGCCTGTGGTCCTAGCCACTCAGAAGGCTGAAGTGGGAGGATGGCTTAAGCCCAGGAGGCAGAGGCTTCAGTGAGCTAAGACCGCATCACCGCACTCCAGGCTGTTAAATATATGTGGTCTCTCCCCCAGTTCCTGCTACAGAGCTCCTAATATCTTGGGAGATTTCCTGGGTGATAGGAGCATCTTTTATCTTCATGAGGTGACTCCCAATGGGCTTCTGCAGGGCTTCAGGATGGGGTCTGGTCACCAGAAAGACCAAGCCGTGATTAGAAGGCTGGAACTTTCAGCCCTATTCCCCATCCTTTGGGAAGGTAAGAGGGGCTAGAGATTGAGTTAATAATCCATCATGACTATGCAATGATGCCTCCTAAAAAAGCCATAAAAAATGGGATTTAAGGAGGTAGAGGTTACCATGAGCCAAGATTTTGCCACTGCACTCCACCCTGGGTAACAGAGTGAGACCTTGTCTCAAAAAAAAAAAAAAAAGAAAAGAAAAGAAAAAACAAGGTGCGGGGGGGGGCATTGAAGAGCTTCCAGGTAGGTGAACAAGAACACACTGAGGTACCTGGAGGGGACATGAAAGCTATGTGTGCCCTTTCCCCTGGACCTCATCCCACGTATCTCTTTATCTGGCTATTCATCTGTATTCTTTGTAACACCGTTAATAATAAACCGATAAGGATAAGTAATTGCTTCCCTAGTTCTGCAGGCAATTGTAGCAAACTACTGAACATGATGGAGGGAGGCAGGGGACCTCCCAATGTATAGTGAAGTTGGAATTTCTAAAGTGAAGGCTGCCTTTTTTTTTTTTTTTGGAGACAAGAGTCTCACTTTGTCACTAAGCCTGGAGTGCAGCGGTGAGACCATGGTTCACTATACCGTCAACATCCTGGGCACAAGCGATCTTCCTGCCTCAACCTCCTGAACAGCTAGGACTATAGGTGCAGCACCGCCCTCTGCTATTTTTTAATTTTTTGTAGAGATGGGGTATTACTATGTTGCCCAGGCTGGTCTTAAACTCCTGGGCCCAAAGGATCCTCCCACCTAGCATCCCAAAGTGCTGGGATTACAGCCATGAGCCACCACACCTGGCAAAGGCTGTCTTACTGAGGGCCTTACCCTCAAACCTGTCAAGTCAGATTCTAACTCCTGGTGATTGCTGCCTGAATGGAAGTGAACCGCAGCCTAGGGGAGGGAGAGAAGCACCTCCCATTGGTGTCCGTTTGATATTTTCGTCTGCCTGGCACCCATTCCTCCATCTCACAGGCTTAATACCCCAAATTCTCTTTGAGAAAACATCTCTCCCCCATACTCAGTTTCTCGAGGCCTGGTGGGATGAACTCTGCTCCCAGTTCCCAGGGTGAGCATTAGACCTAACCCAATCAACCAACTTATTCTATACAGCGGGTCACCAATGCTGGGTCAGGGTAGGGAGCATAACAAAACTGGGTCAATGAAAACTGCTGGAGAAAAGCATTTTCCTGCTGCTGATGTTGCTAATCTAACAGGATAGGCCTGGAGCTGCTGCAACTATTATCAGCTATTCTGTTTCGGTGTTAAATCAAGTTTGGCCTAAAGCTGCCTCCTTACATGTTTTAAGTTTGGCTTAAAGGATTCTCTGCACATAGTGAACTATAACCTCACTGGACACGTAAATAGAATGTAACCTACTCTTGTGCCAATCACCGAGTTTCGACAAATCAAACGTGGCTAACCGTTGAAACTGGGTTCAAATAAGGCAAATGCTGAGCTGTAACCAAACCAGCAATTTCTGTACCTCACTTCTGTTTTCTGTACATCACTCTCCGTTTTCTGTCCATAAATCTTCTTCTACCACATGACTGTGCTGGAGTCTTTCTGAACCTGCTCTGGCTAGGGAGGCTGCCCAATTCACGAACTGTTCTTTGCTCAATTAAGCTCCATTTAATTTAATTTGGCTGAGAAATTTCTTTTTTTTCCTTTTTATTTTTTTGAGATGACATCTTGCTCTACTGCCCAGGCTGGAGGGCAGTGGCGCAATCTTGGCTCACTGCAATCTCCGTTTCCTGGGTTTAAGCAATTCTCCTGTCTTAGTCTCATGAGTAGCTGGGACTACAGGCACACACTACTGCACCCAGCTAACTTTTGTATTTTTAGTAAAGATGGGGTTTCGCCATGCTGACCAGACTGGTCTTGAACTCCTGACCTCAGGTGATGCAACCATTTCGGCCCCCCAAAGTGCTGAAATGACAGCTTTGAGGCGTGGCACCTGGCCAAGAATTTTCTTTTAACATGGGGAATGGGTACCTGAGCATGAAAGCAACTGTGGCTGTGGTGAGGTCACCCACAGTCACAAAACACCGGGGGACTAAGGGGTCGTGGGAGGCTGAACCTCAATCCTGGGGGTCTTCTGCTTTATGCAATCATTCCCAGAGCCGCCATGCTGACAATCACATCTCCCCTACATGACAACTCTGTAGTTTCTACCACTTGCTAGTAAGATAACACCAACCTGGCAGCATGGACCAGCCAAGTCTCTTGCCTGCTTTTGTTTTATTTTTTAAATAAACCCACAGATAGACTAAGATGCTATTCAGGACTGCACCCTCTGCTGGCAATTAGAGTGACTCTTATATCCCCCATACGAAAATTAAAAGTCAAGATACAATTTGTTGACACAGCCAAATCAGGAACAAAGTCATCCCATTCACATGGGGACTTCACTAATGAGGAAGGGAGGGAATAAAAATGGTGCCGGGAGAGACCAATATTACAAAAAAGAGGCAGTGAACAAATTGGTTGATTTAAATACTCAGGCCGGGAAAGGCGGCTCACGCCTAGAATCCCAGCACTTTGGGAGGCCAAGGCGGGTGGATCACCTGAGGTTAGGGGTTTGAGACCAGGCTGGCCAATGTGGCAAAACCGTGTCTCTACTAAAAATACAAAAATTAGCAAAAATTCGCACAGTGTGGTGGTGCGTGCCTGTAATCCCAGCTACTTGGAAGGCTGAGGCAGGAGAACTGCTTGAGCCTGGGAGGCAGAGGTTGCAGTGGGCTACGATCGCACCACTGCACTCTAGCCTGGGTGACAAAGTGAGATTCATTATCTCAAAAATAAATAATAAAAACATTTTTTTAAAAATCAGGCTGGGCATAGTGGCTCACACCTGTCATCTTAGCACTTTGGAAGGTAGAGGCAGGCAGACTGAGCTCTGGAGTTTGAGACCAGCCTGGGCAACACGGCGAAACCCCATCTTACTAAAAAAATACAGAAACTTAGCCAGGCATGGTGGCACGTGCCTATAATCCCAGCTACTCAGGAGGTGGAGACACAAGAATCACTTAAACCCCCGGACGCAACGGTTGCAGCGAGCCAAGATCACAGCACTACACCCCAGCCTTGGGGACAGAGCAAGACTGTCCAGAAAAAAAAAAAAAAATCAAATATGCACAAGTGGCTACCACTGGCAAAATGGAAAAGACTCAGGAAGACTGTCTTTCATTTCAAGGGTTAAGAATATCATTTAGAAAGACCCTTAACAAAACTCACAGTTATGGGTTTCAGAGGATGATAGTCCCCGAATTCCAATGGTACAGCCTCCAGGCGACATGATGCGAACTCAGCTTTGTAGTTCCTGTTCCTGGAGTGCCTGGTCAATAGCAAAACAGAGCCAATTAGTGGGTGGGGGCATTTAAAAATGCTAAAAACTTCTGTCGAGACTTTCTCAATGATGTGGTAGTTCAGAGCAGCATGATATTCTGACCAAGGTCAAAAAGAAACTACATTTAAAAACAAATTTTTTGGCCAGGCACAGTGGTTCATACCCATAATCCCAACACTTTGAGAGGCCTAGGCAGGCAGATCACTTGAGGTCAGGAATTTGAGACCACCCTGGCCAACACAGTAAAACCCTATCTCTACTAAAAATATAAAAATTAGCTGGGCATGGTGGTGCATGCCTGTAAACCCAGCTATTTGGGAGGCTGATGCAGGAGAACTGCTTGAACCTGGGAGGTGGAGGTTGCGGTGAACTGAGATGGCCCCACTGCACTCCAGCCTGGGCCACAGCATGAGACTCTGTGGCAACCAAAAAAAAAAAAAAAAAAAAAATTAAAATTAAAAAAAAAATCTTTTTGAAGGTATAAAGAGCTGCCAGCATATTGGACTTGTTATGCCACACACCAGAAAACAGGAAAACTCACTAAGGTGACTCTAAAACTCCTTGCCCAGCTTTCCTGCTCAGGGCATTTATGAATTCTAAGCATGGGGCAAGAAACTGAAGCCAAGCAGAGGGCAGCTGTGAGGCAGCAGAGCAGCTGAAAGGGCTCTAAGGAAACCTCGCAGAGCTGCACAGATAAACAGGAGTACAGGGCTATCAAGACAGCCAGGAGGAAGAGGAGAGAGCAAGGGAAGACAGAAATCCAGCCCAGATTTCCCCTCAAGGTATTCACCCATTGAGCTTCCTAGGGCAAGAGAAAGGAGCCAAATGGAAAGAAAATGAAGAGCTCATGATGTTTTCACTGGTTTCATGAAGGTTCGACAAGATAATAGATTTCGGGAGCTGGAAAATAAAGGGGAAGACTGAAGCATGGAGCAGAAAAGCACAGGAAGACAGACAGAATTTCAAAGACACAAGGGATGAGAAGAGAAGGCCTAACACACGTATAATTGGAATTCCAAAGAGGAAGAGAGAGAGAATGTGCAAGAACAGTCTCTAAAAAGATTATAGCTGAAACTTTTCCAAAACCAAAGAAAGACATCAAGCTACAGACTCAAGAAACATCCATGGCCCAAGGAGGACAAGTACAAAGGCAAACAGACAAAACACACTTAGAGCCTTTATAGTAAAATGTACAGAAACCAAAAGAATTTTTCTTTTTACTTTTTAAGAGATGGCGTCTTCCTATGTTGCCCAGGCTGGTCTTAAATTCCTGGGCTCAAGTGATCCTCCTGCCTCAGCCTCCCAAGGTGCTGGGATTACAGGCACAAACCACCCTGCCCGGCCTTCTTTGAGCATTTTAATTTTTTTTTTTTTTTTTTTTTTTAAGACAGGGTTTCACCATGTTGGTCAGGCTGGTCTTGAACTGCCGACCTCAGGTGATCCTCCCACCTTGGCCTCCAAAGTGTTTGGATTACAGGCATGAGCCACCATGCCCGGCCTTCTTTGAGCATTTTAAAGATACTGTTCCTGTGTCTTCTTTGCTCATCTTTGTGCCGCAAAAGTCTTATTTTTGCTCCCTTGAATATAAAGTATCCTTTTTAGAAATTCTCTCTGCCAGGTATGGTGGCTCACACCTGTAATCCCAGCACTTTGGGAGGCCAAGGCAGGTGGATTGCTTGAACCCAGGAGTTCAAAACCAGCCTGGGCAACATGATGAAACCCTATCTCTACAAAAAAAAAAAAAAAAAAAAAAAATCAGCTGGGTGTGGTGGTATATGCCTGTAATCCCAGCTACTCTGGAGGCTGAGGTGGGATGATCGGAGTTCAAAACTGCAGTGAGCTAGCCGGGCGCGGTGGCTCAAGCCTGTAATCCCAGCACTTTGGGAGGCTGAGGCGGGTGGATCACGAGGTTGATAGATCGAGACCATCCTGGTCAACATGGTGAAACCCCGTCTCTACTAAAAATACAAAAAAATTAGCTGGGCATGGTGGCACGTGCCTGTAATCCCAGCTACGCAGGAGGCTGAGGCAGGAGAATTGCCTGAACCCAGGAGGCGGAGGTTGCGGTGAGCCGAGATCGCGCCATTGCACTCCAGCCTGGGTAACAAGAGCGAAACTCCGTCTCAAAAAAAAAAAAAAAAAAAAAAAAAAAAAAAAAAACTGCAGTGAGCTATGATCACACCACTGCACTCCAGCCTGGGCAACAAAGTGAGTCCTTCTCTCTTAAAAAGAGAAAAGAAATCTGAAGGAGAGGAACACAGGAGTGGGGAGAAGATAGAAAAATGTTTTAAAATGATTTTCTTTACATTCTTAATCTCTATTGTGAAGATCTGGGAATATAATCTCATACTTCACGGTTAAAAAATTTTTTTTTAACTCACACACTTAACCAAATGTTTTACACATATGTGTTTCCACATCTAATTTTAAAAGCTACCATAGTCACGGAATGTCAGGTCCACAAAGCCACAGACAAGTTAACCTATTTGACCCCTTTCTCATGTCCTCCATTGTCTCTCCAAGCAAAACATCTCAGCCGGTATGGAAAGTAACAAAGTCTCTCCTTGACCAAACTCTGGACAGGCTCCTCTGCGTTCTCTCCCCAACTAGTGGTTGGCTGCTGGATTTCCAAGTCTGCTTTTGTACTACCCAGTTTTAGCAGGAATTCTGGTAAGTTGGTTGAGCCAGAATCCCCCTCCATATCCAATTGCCCTCAATATCTGATCAAATTCTTCTATCCCCACTTGGCTATAAATTTCCACTTCTCCTTGTTACATTAGTAGACGCAAATCTCTAGCCCTTATGCAAAACTCCACTGCAGCAGCCCCCTAAAGCCCATCTCATTTTCTTTAACAAGTGCCATGAATAATAGTTTTTCTTTTCTTTCCTTTTTTATTTTTTATTTTTTATTTTTTTTGAGATGGAGTTTCACTCTTGTTACCCAGGCTGGAGTGCAATGGCACAATCTTGGCTCACTGCAACCTCTGCCTCCTGGGTTCAGGCAATTCTCCTGCCTCAGCCTCCTAAGTAGCTGAGATTACAGGCACGTGCCACCATGCCCAGCTAATTTTTCGTATTTTTAGTAGAGACGGGGTTTCACCTTGTTGACCAGGATGGTCTTGATCTCTTGACCTCGTGATCCACCCGCCTCGGCCTCCCAAAGTGCTGGGATTACAGGCTTGAGCCACCGCGCCCGGCCCTTTTCTTTTTTTTAAACAGTCTCTCTCTGTCACCCAGGCTGGAGTGCAGTGGTGCGATTTCAGCTCACTGCAACCTCCACATCTCAGGTTCAAGCCATCCTCCTGCCTCAGCCTCCCAAGTAGCTGGAACTAGTTATAAAGACTATATAGCTAATTTTGTATTTTTTATTAGAGATGGGGTTTCACCATGCTGGTCTTGAACTCCTGACCTCAGGTGATCCACCCGCCTCGGCCTCCTAAAGTGCTGGGATTAGAGGCATGAGCCACCGTATCTGGCCAATAGTTTTGCTTTAACAAAAGACATGCACACTTCTCATTTGTCAAATACCACATTCCAGAAAAACAGCTTTTCTGGGCACATGGGACAATTCCTGTCTCCCTCAACCCACTTTGGGAAAGAGGAACCTCAAAGAGCACAGGGACTTTCCTTGGCCTCCAAGTCCCTTAAATTCATCCCCCCACCCCACCTTCTGCTCCCATTGAGATTCCCAACTTAATCAACCTTTGTATGAAATTCTAGTGCCCCAGACCTAATTGTGCCATGCAACTGATCAGCTTTACCCAGTATCCTCCATTAACCCAGAAATCCAAGCCAGCACAAATTGTGCTCCCATGTAATTTCATTTCTATCTTTTCTAAATGAACTCAGGTTTGAGTATAGGAGAGGAGGAGAAAGGTGGTTGACAATAACCAGTTCAACTTTTTTTTTAAGGGAAAATCCCTTTTACAATATATTGCCTACTCCCTCTGGGGTCATATTTATAAAATATATACTGTCTTCATCTTCCAGAAGACTGCAATTGAAATCACCTATGAAATATTCTTCCAAACTCCCTTCTCATCAAGGATGCCATCAGGCAATCCTTGATTAAAAAAACAAAACCCCCAACAGTCAAGATGGAGTTTAAAACATCAAATCACACTTTTCTTCTTTTCAAATCACTTTTTTTTTAAGACAAAGTCTTGCTCAGTTCCCCAGGATGGAGTACAGTGGCATGATTTCAGCTCTCTGCAACCTCCACCTCCTGGATTCAAGCAATTCTCCTGCTTCAGCCTCCCGAGTGGCTGGGATCACAGGTGTGTGTCACCATGCCTGGCTCATTTTTGCATTTTTTGTAGAGATGGGCTTTCACCATGTTGGCCAGGCTGGTCTCGAACTCCTGACCTCAAGTGAACTGCTCACCTTGGCCTCCCAAAGTGCTGGGATTACAGGTGTGAGCCACCATGCCTAGCTTCAAATGACTAAGTTTATCAGTTGTCAAGAAAAGTAGAATGTTGAAAGGTTCATGTAACAAAGTAGAAATTTTAATATGACCAGAAAGTCAGTTCCAAATGTGTTTTCTGTCCCTACTGGAATTACTAACCAATCAGTCCGGGTGCAGTGGCTCATGCCTGTAATCAAACACTTTGGGAGGCCAAAGTCGGGGAATCACCTGAGGTCAGGAATCAAGACCAGCCTGGCCAACATGGAGAAACCCCATCTCTACTGAAAAAAACAAAATTAGCCTAGTGTTGTGGCACATGCTTGTAATCCCAGCTACTCGGGAGGCTGAGGCAAGAGAATCACTTGAACCTGGGAGGCGGAGGTTGCAGTGAGCTGAGACTGCACAACTGCACTGCAGCCTGGGCAACAAGAGCAAAACTGTCTTAAAAAAAAAAAAAAAAGAAAGAATTACTAACAAATCAATCAACAGCTGAGCAAACACTAGATCAAACCAGAAATATGACTTCATATGCAATGCTCAAATAATGGTTCTTACTTATTGTGCACTGACTATATAGCAGGCT